GGTTTTGTGGTTCTGTATGTTGTGTTTATCGAAAGTAGGATGAAGTCGACCATCGAAATAGTAGCTCTCTAAGTTGTTGATACCTTTATTTTTCAGTTAAAATCAATATTGATAATTAGATTCAAGAAACAGGTTCTATATAAATATATAGGGTTGATCTTCTCACTATTGTAGCTGTATGCGAGCTTGTGTTTTTAAAATCTGTGAATTTGCATTTACGATTGTTTCATTAATTATTGCAAACTCAAATATGAACTAAATCAAGCCTTTTTCAGAATTACTGCTAAGTGGTACTAATCATCAACTTCAGTTTTAAAACTGTTTGTCCCTATCAATCAATGATGTTGCACGATCATGATCCATTGTCTTCAGTCAGTAACTACCTCGTACTCAACACGGTTAAGCTTCATTAATCACGGTTTCCTACTAAAACTTCGAAAGTTCCATCACAAAGCTGGTAAATAGTGAACACATAATAGTTGTCAGTATGTGGTTGCGTAGATTGTTGAGTTTCATTGAAATCATGAGTCGATCACTGTTAGATCACGATTGAAAATCTAGATGCATTAAATGACAGATTCGTCATCATAGAATGATGGTCTAACACTAATTAATTTCGTGTTCTTTTATGGGTATGAAGACGGATGTTAATTCCCGGCTGCCCATACGATGAAAGGGTTTGGGTTATCAGAAGAGGCATCGGCCTGATGACTTCCGAAGGAACTCAGCTTTCACCATGCGACGTCATGATTCTTCTAAATGGAGACCTAACCCCCAGAGCAGAGTTGGTTTCAATTATTTTTTTTTCTTGTTAGCGTTTTTTAGCGAGTTAGTTTTTTTACGGGATGGGGTCGCCAATTCTGACCCTCCTCCTTTATCCGGGCTTGAGACCGGCAGGAGCCCCAAAGGATCTACAGGCGAAGTTAACATTAACTCATTTAAACTCAACAATCTCCATAACCCCATACTAATAGTGTGTATATCTTATTCATTCCTGTTAAAAACTTCACTATGATTCATTTTTCGATTTATCATCTAAATAAATTTGTCAACTTATATGTATGAATTTTTTTTATCCCGTCAGGATTTTGGTCAGTATAGTCCAGATGGAAATTATATTATGCAAACAACCGAGGGTGAACAAATTGCCCAGCTTATATCTGGTTACGTGGATATTATTTTACGTAGACAACGTAGTCGTGATGGTGGTCAAACAGAAGGTGATGAAGAAAATACAATAATTGAAGAGAATATTACTCCATCAAAGTAATTTTTTAATTTCTATTAAATTTCATCCAATTATACTACTTATATAGAGAGCAGTTCGTATGCTTTTTTATTTGTTCATTGAATATTGACTAGATTTAATTCATTGTTTAATTAATATTCTTAGTAATACTTTTTTTTCATTGTCAAAATGATTTTAATAAATATTGTAAATTGAAAATGTCCGCCGTCAGTAGTTAACTAGTCATAAATAATGTCGAACGCGTGACATTCATTGATCGATTCGATTCCAATAACCACGACCTCACAACAAGTCTTGTTTATGACCTGCGTGTTTCATGATATTGGCCAAGTGAAAAGCAAGCCAATAACTTACCAAAGACATTATATGCAGATTACACTATATTATCAGTTAGTCAGTTACAATCTAGTACTTGATATCTACGTACATCAGTTCAAGTTGTCATACCACAACATTATCCCTGAGTGATCAAATATTATTCATCTACTGGATTTAAAAATATCAGTCAATTTATTCAGGATGCTTTTTGTTTAAAAGTCTTGAATTAGCACACAATGAATGTCCCAAGTGTTTTTTGGTTCTTCAATACTTCTCCAGGTTATTTCAGTTCATCATTAAAAATCACTCGCAAGTTATGCTACTTGAATGAGGAATTTTGACATCATCTCTCATAATTCATGATAATATGATTATTAGAAGTTATTTTAAAGTGAAACAATCAATACTTTATAGTTATTGTCTAATATTAATAAATTTGATCTAAACAATCTATTTTAATATACGATTGTCAGCGTGGAATCACTTATTGACCTAGAATATGCCGATGACATAGTTCTATTCGGTGAAGACGCTGACAAAAAGCAGTCTTCTGACTGTCCTAAGCAACAATGCAAGCATGTTCGGGATGCGATTCTCACCTTTGAAATGCAAAATGTTGCTTCAAGATTGGCTTGCTCCGGCACTTGAATTAGTGATAGGAAGTGAAGTAGTCGAGCGTGTAGACCGCTTCACTTATCTCGGGAGTCTCATCAGTGCTGATGGCCTGTTGACTGACGGAGTCTCAGCACGGATACATAACCCGATTGGTATTCACCAACTTGCGTCACTTATGGCGTAGGCAAGGTATCCGTTTTCTGACTAAAGAACAAGTGTACTGTGCAGCAGTTAGCCCCGTTCTCCTATATAGGTGAGAAACATGGCCAGTGAGAGTAGAAGATATTCGTAGGTCACTGGTTTTCGATTATAGATGTCTTCGGATCATTGCTCGTGTATCGTGGGACAACCGAGTAAGCGATGCTGCCATTAGAAAACGAGTACTAGGTAGGGGTAGCACATCAACAGATGAAGTGTTGAAACTTCATCAGTTGAGATGGTTAGAATATGTGTTACGAATGCCCGACCACCGACTGCCTCGACGAGTAATGCTATACGGTGTTGGTTTAGGCTGGAAGAAATTTTGGGTCGGCCAGACCAAAACATGGCACAAATCCATGAAGTCATTGAAAAGTGGACTGATTGATATTGGCAGATGTAGGCTACCTGGTTGGGGTCCGCGAGATGAAAAGGACCGATGGTTAGAGACCTTGAATGATGTGGCTCAAAATCGTTTGCAATGGCGCAGGTGCATCGACTCATTTTGTTGTATTCTTCTGGATTCGTCAACACCTCTAGTTGTCTTTTCAAAGTTATCTCACTGAATTATACTTCTCGAATCATATCTTCATACCCTAATCTTCTCCATTACTGCTAATAATCCTACTACCTCTACTACTATAGGATTCGAACTGACAGTCGCTTCTCTGTGTTGATGTGGTATGGTAACCTGAACTGATGTGCGTACGAACGAAGTTCTACGTTGTAGCTGACTGATAGACTGACTTATTAGCGGCTTATATATATATATATATATATATATATATATATATATATATATTACAATTTAACAATATGTTGTATGATATTTTTGATGTCACATTGTTTTTTTTTCTTATTAACTAGAATTCTTTATTTATCAAAACCAGCATTACATTCAAATAGTTGAATAATTTTGTTTTATTCAATTCGATGTTAATCTATAATTTCATACTTTTTAGTTAAAAGGCTTACAAGATTATTTATTTATTCTGAAATCGAAAGTTCATGCATTTTTGCCTTCTGAATATGCTGTCGTCTGTTTATTCATTGTTAACAAATTTTTTTTAATTCAGTTTTTATTATTTATTTTGTTTAAATAATGCATGACGTTATACTAATGTGACTTGCTGAATACAGGTTTATATATATATATATATATATATATATATATATCCAACTTTGTCTCATAGTTTTCACATATTAGAGTTATAATTTGAAATCATCAATCAATCATTGTTAGACCACCATTAGAAACCTGGAAGCACTGCTCGACAGCCGTTTCGTCCTGGTATGGAACTCATCAGCAGTGCGCATCCACGCCTTCTGCTCCTCGCAGGATTCGAACCCGGGACCTTCGGTATTGTGCGCGAACGCCTCACCTCTGGACTACCGTGCCGGCATCCAACGGTGTTAATGTCTAGCTCTGGTTGATCTAGGGATTTCGCGCGACCTCACCCATTTGTATTTGGTAGTTACTGCCTACACCCGACAGGGTTGAACTCCATTGGTCACGTCTTCTCAACTAGAACTCCGAGGATTTCCTCACGAATCTAGTCACTAGTGAGCACTGTTACGATATTTACGGGCAGAGTTTTTGAGATTTGTGTTTTTACACATTTGAAATCATCAAATGAAATCATCACCGTCCAGTGCTTCCAGGTTTCTAATGTTGGTCTAATAATGATTGATTGATGATTTCAAATGTGTAAAAACACAAACCCCAAAAACTCTGCCCCAAAAGAGTTATAATTATCATCAAGCTGTTCAAGTAGAAATTAATTTAGTGATCTTATCACATGTTATTCAAATGTTAACAATCAAATACTTCTACCATATAGTCATCGCCAACATTCCTATCTAATACAACTGGTACTTTACATAGGTGGGTGATTATAAGAAAATTCATATTGTAATAAATCACAGAAGAAAAAAGGAGTGTGTGTGTGTGTGTGTGTTGTATTATCTCAAATTTCGATAAAACCCATCTGCCATAGACTTTTTGTTGTTTAGTTATGTGAAAAATATCACTAAGAATCTTTCATATACCATTTATATCATTACTGAGTTTAATTTTTTTTTCCTTAGAAATCTTATAACTGAATATTTTTAACATATCTTTTATCGATTTCCATATTGTTCATTTTATTTTTCTTCAAAAACTATGATCCTCACTGTTAACACTTTTATGAAAAAAAACATACAAAGTCAAAAAGGTTTCGTCTATTGTGAATATTTATTAAAAACGTCAATAATACCTATATATATATATATATAAGATAATCAACAGGGCGTCTTTAATCAAGTATATTTAGGATTTTTTCAGTATTATAAAGTCAAGGAAATTATTAAGTTTCATTGGAATTATGAATCCTTCATTGTTGTGCAATATCAGAGATTGATTAAAGTTAGACATTAACACCGTTGAATGTCAGCTCAGCGGTCTTGGAGTTAAGCGTTCGCGTGCAAGACAGAAGGTCCTGGGTTCGATTCCTGTGAGGAGCGGGGTTTGTGGATATACAAAATTGATGAGTCTCATACTAGAATGAAACAGTTGTCCACTAATTCAAGGTTTCTAATGGTGGCATAATAATTATCGATTCATAATTTCACTATAAAATTTAATTATATTCCATGTTTTTCTTTTGTAAATTTGATTTCTGTTCTCATGACTAATGAATGGTGGATAAGATAGTGAAAAGTAGTAGAAAATTGATTTGATATGATAGTTAAAGTCAAATTTCTAGTTTCTCTATAAAAAATTTATTCAACCTGTATTTATTACTGATCACTCTAGACAGTTGATACCGCCTAGTTTTTGGTGTATTACATTTCGGATCAATCGTTTAGACCTATACGTTTAAAAAGAATAACTGTATGCATGGGTATGTTATAGGCTAAAAACTTCGTTTGTAATATGTTTACTTTCGTTAACATCAGAATGTTGTCATAATCTACTAATCATGAGATTAACCTTTTTCAGAACTGATTTCTACTGAAAATCGTGTAAAATGTGCAGAAACTTTAAGTTCATTGAGATATTCCTCATGATAACCAGCTTTTTTTTAGAAATTTTTTAGATAGCAAGCAGTTTTTAGTAAACTTGGACAATGATTAGCATTATCATCCAAGATGCACGTTTTGTGCTATTTGAAACTCGTCAGTTGGTTCAACCTCATTTTGGTGTCCAGTTTTCTTACCTTGACTCTAACTAAGCATGTTGAGTTTCGAACATCCAGTGCGTTATCTACACTGACCTACCAAGTCCAAGCTAGTGACTGTATAGCAATATTGAGCACATCAGCTATAGTTACACTGAAGATGCCGAAAGAGATTGATTCTTTAGTTTCAGCAACGAGAAAATACCGATACTTCCAGCTAATGAATGACAGCTATCAATATATATATAATTCTATTTGAATAAACCAAAGTGTTCTCGTTTAAATATCTAGTCATTTTTACTTTTACAATACTACTTATTTAATAATTTCAATTTGTAGAGCTAATGTTATTGCCAATATGAGTGCAACACTACCTCGTGGACATCGTGCTCAAGAAGCAAATTTATCTCATAGTGGTTTATTACGTACTGCAAGTCAAAGAGAAAATTTTGCTGAAGGTCATTTAGCTGTTGAAAGTCATACTATATCACGTCACAATTTAAGTGGTAATAATAATATTGGCTCTGGACTTATTGTCAATTCTAATGGGGATGTAACACCTGGTGGAAAATATGGTGTAAGTTATTACTATTTTTAACTTTTCATTGCGTTTCATTTTATTACTCGACCGCCTCGCTTAAATCTATTTGTTTATGTTTTTTGTAATTCGATAATCGTTAGTTTTAGCATTTACACTTACCTCAATTAAAATGATACACCGTATCTGAAAACTTGTCTACTAGTGCACTGTATTTGGTTACAATTTTTCGGATTATGTTTTATTCATTGAAACACAAATGACATGTAAACTATTGAACACTGATTCACTTATCTGAGGGTTAGGAGCTCCCCATCGAACCTGCAAGGCCTGCGTTCGATAACCAGTATGGTTATAGACGCCTACCGTAAAGTATTCCCCCATTAGGACGAAACAGCTATTTAGTGAAATCATGAATTAATCACTGTTAAATCACCATTAAAAACCTATAAACACTGGACGGCCGTTTCGTCCCATAGTATGGGACCCATCAGCAGTGCTCATCCACGACCTTCGCTTTTCGTGAGAGTTGAACCCAGGATCTTTGGTTTTGCGTGCAAACTCTTAATGGTAGTCTAAAATGATTGATTCATGATTTCATTCATCAACAACAATCTCCATAACTTTATAATGAAAAAACTAGTTAGTGATTTATGGTTTTCCATGGTTGTCCCTTTTATTATCGATCCATGCTAAAAAAACGCATGCTTTTGAAACATGCAAACCATATACTCTCACCAAATAAACAGAGTTAAAAACCCTTTTTTTATATATAAACCATTTTAATAATTATCGCTGAACTAGTCAACATTAAGTTATTGGTTCGCTTGATTCATATTACTAAATTTCGTACAAAAAGAATCATAAATCAGAATACATAACCATGAACTTTGTCATTAAGTTAGATTAAATTTTTAAATATTAACTTTTGTGAACAAAAACCATAGGCGCTGGTGGTAAACTTAAAAGCGACCTCATCAAATGACCTTCGCTGCCTTTATCCTATTGGTTGAATTCAAAATAATATCATTATGTAGATGATAGTTTTGTGATTTTCTCTCACATTGTAAATAATCTATTGATTCTTCAAATGGAATAAAGTTGAAACTAAACATTATTAAATTTTAAAAAAAAAATAGCTTATGATTTTCTTCATTTTTTTATTCATTGATTTATTGATATTTGTGTAAAGAAAAGCACAAAAAATGTTTACTTTAAAAGTGATTCATAAATTCTTTATGAATACAATACAAAATTGTGAATATATCATGACGGTTTAAACACTTTTTGTATTACTCATTATTTTTTTGATTACGAGTTAACCTACGAATAATGCTTATTGTAACTCTTTGTTGTTGTCTATTGGTCGAATTGAACTTTTCACTAAACTTCAACATCACAGCAAACTAATTCTGTGATTTATGTGGACTACATGTTTACTTGACTTTAATGTCATTATATCTTAGTTTAGTTACCTGATTCTCCAAGCAGATAACTCGAATTAGGGATCGGCTAAGCTTTTGTATTTATTGATTGCCTTCTACGTATTCTAATCAGTTGGTGTCAACCATTTGGGCTGATATTCGACTCTATCGGTTGCATAAATAATACATTAATTCAGTAATTGCAGTTAATCGAAGGCTCGATTGGCTTTTGCTAACCTGCGGCACTTATGGCGCAGGCGAGATATCCGCTCGCCAACCAAAGGACGAGAGGACTGCGCAGCAGTTCCCTCTGTCCTACTATACGGATGCGAAACATAGCCGTTAAGAATAGAGGACATTTATAGGTTACTAGTCTTTGTGTGCTTTTTAATCCTAACCTTCTAAATTCCTCATAATCTCTGTTTTTTTCCTTCTAAATTCATCTCACTGAATTATACTTTTCGAATCATGTCTTCGCTCCCTAATCTTCTCCATTACTGCTAATGCTTCTACTATCGCTATCACTCTTGGATTTGAACTGACAGTTGCGTCTCTGTGCTGACGTGGTATGGCAACTTGAACTGATGTACTTATGTACGAAGTTCTGCGTTGTATCTGTCTGTCTCTCTGTAACTGCAATTAATTCAGAGTTTTAAAAATCCATTGAAGTCAATTCATACTGTTTACTACTTTATCAACTCCAGATATTCCTATCTGTTTTTAATTCCTATGGAGTTTATAGAAAATTCATAATCTTACTGATGCTTAATTTTCAAACTGAAGCTCCTAAAATATATTTCGAATACACACAGAGTGCGTTTGGTTGAAGTATAAGTATTTTAGCGGTAAAACGGTTACAGTTCATATAAAAACTAAATCAGTAATAAATACAATGATCACCTACATGACAAACTAAGGAATAGTTTTAATGATAAAATATATTTCAAAAAAAATAGTTGCGACTATATTAGCATAACACTTTTCATCATTATATATATATAAATATGTATATACGTATGTATTATTGATTTGAAAGTTGATACTTTACCTATTGGACAATTTTCAAGACATTATTTTTTGTTTATATAAGTTTAAATGAATAAATCAATAAAATGTGCATGTTGGTTTTTTCATTTCATTATTTGAATGATCACATAATGTATTGTAGTGTACACATTACCAATCACTTATGACATTCGACAATATTTGTTATAATAGGAAACTTTATTAATACATTTACGTACAATGTAAATGTATTATATACATATATATATGTAGAATCCAAACTGAGGTTTGAACTGACGAATAACTGTCTACGTAGGTTAGATACGCGTCTTGCCCAGTTTAGAAGCCAAAACAAGTGATTTAGGTAAATGACGGTTCTATTATTCATCATAAATATAAATATCTATACATCATTACCTAAACAAATATTACCCCCTCGTTATTCCTTCAACAATTGTTCAGTTGATCAAATCAACAGCACAAATAAATGTTATTCTATCCCTCCTGGATTGATCAGATTCGTTTGACAGATAATATTTGGTTGCTTCATAACACAGAGTGTTTCGAATTCTAGAAGAGTGCTTCAATTCACAATCAAAATGCACAACTCTAGTCGAAGCAAGCAATCCAATCAAATGAGGAACAAATCAATATGGCTGTCGCCATGACTAAGTATCAGCTTAAACAACATAATGCAGTTCATATAGAAACTATAATAAAATACAAATATCATCATCTCAAAATGAAATCGAACAGATTAACAAAATGTACAACCGAAGGAATCAATAAGAACAAATTACAAATGTATACATGTAGGGATTTTCACAAACAAAACCTTCAAAAATGGATCTTACATCCGAGACTCCTGCACCTCGCAGGACTGCAGCCTAGGACCTTCAGTCTTGTGCGCTAACGCCTGAACTTCTAGACCCCTTAGTCGGCACCGAACGGTGTTCATGTCTAACTCTGACTATTATTATATTATAGAATACTGTGATAATTTAGAGCATGATTTCTATTCTCTCATACAGATAGATAGTATAAAGACGTGAGAGAAAATCTAATAGCACTAGATAACAGTCTTCAATAATCAAAGGCGAAAAAGAAAACCTAGCACATGAAATACATGTGACTTAAGTATTAAAGTTACAATTACTAATAATAAAACTTAATTCATTAGTATAATTTAATATACATACTATCATGAATGTTTTGATTTATTCAAACAAAATCAATTGTCATTATCAAAGTGAGATTACCTTTGAGCATACTTAGTGATGATGAATTAAGTCCATAATAATAAATATAAGTGTAAATCCATTAGACAATTAACTTACAGATAACATCAGTAATATTTTGACAATCATCTTTTTTCCATTCAAAACGACAACTCTATATCTGTGTACATTTTATACATGTACATATATGCGTACATTTAGAATAATAGAAATAAAATATCCAGGAAAAATTCTATATTTTATAGTATGATAAACATTAATTTTGCATAGGTTGTAATTTTCAATTGAATTTGATAACAATAATGTTTGCATTTAGTAATTTTACAAAAGAAATAATTGGTGGGCTAATTTTTTTTTTCAAGTTATATCATCTCTCTTTCCTGTTATTCACTAATTCACACACACACACACATGGATATATCTACACTGGCTATTTATTACACAAACTGTAGCATGATCGAGTAACGAGTAAATTATGATTATAACATGAACAGTAAATGAAATAGATGCCTAGTTACAATTAGTAATTGAAAAGAAAACTAAGAAAAAACTATTCCCATAACGTTTTATGGACAGGTGTGAAATTGTTTTTAACTATTGTGTATTGTGTATTGTATTCTGCCTGCATTTATAAACATTTATCTACATATACATATATCTATCCATTATTTGTAACACTTTTTTCTCCTCAATAAACACACCGATGAATATGAGACGGTGATAAAAATTCATTAGCTGTGCAGAAAGATAAAAAGATACATGTTTACATGTCAGTAAGGAGAAGTACACTTAGTGAAATAGAAATGTATTATCAGTGAAAATTCCTGAATAGAGAGCCGAATTTAAAAAAAACCGAACATCATAGAATCCAAAAGCAATTACACAATCAGTTAGTCAGTTACAACGTAAAACTTCGTAAGTAAGTACATCAGTTCAGGTTGCCATAGCACATTAACACAGAGATGCAATTGTCAATTCAAATCCCATTGTAGTAGAAATAGTACAAGTACTTCACGTCATCCAAGGTCTCTAAACATCGGTGACTTTCTTCTTGCGGACCCCAACCAGATAGCCTACATCTACCAACATCACTCAGTCCACTTTTCAGTGACTTCATGGACTCCTGCCGTGTTTTGGTGAGGCCGCCCTTGGCTTTCTTCCAACCTATTCTTACATCGCAAAGCATAACTAGACGAGGCAGTCGGTGGTTAGGCATACGCAACACGTGTCCCAACCACGTCAACTGATGAAGTTTCAATACTTCATCTATTGATCTGCCTGACCTACCTAGGACTCGTGTCATAAGGACAGTATTGAGTACTCGGGTGTCCCACGATACACCAGCAATGCTTCGAAGACATCTATAATCGAAAACCAGTGACCAACGAATATC